GTTCTTGCAATTTTGCACTCGCTAGGCCCTTGTTCTTGCAATTTTGCACTCGCTAGGCCCTTGTTCTTGCATTTTTACGCTCGCTAGGCCCTTGTTCTTGCAATTTTGAACAGGCTAGGCCCTTGTTCTTGCATTTTTGCACTCGCTAGGCCCTTGTTCTTGCAATTGTGCACACGCTAGGCCCTTGTTCTTGCAATTTTGCACACGCTAGGCCCTTGTTCTTGCAATTGTGCATACGCTAGGCCCTTGTTCTTGCAATTTTGCACATGCTAGGCCCTTGTTCTTGCAATTTTGCACTCGCTAGGCCCTTGTTCTTGCAATTTTGCACTCGCTAGCCCCTTGTTCTTGCAATTTTACGCTTGCTAGGCCCTTGTTCTTGCAATTTTGAACAGGCTAGGCCCTTGTTCTTGCATTTTTGCACTCGCTAGGCCCTTGTTCTTGCAATTGTGCACACTCTAGATCCTTGTTCTTGCAATTTTGCACACTCTAGATCCTTGTTCTTGAAATTTTGAACACGCTAGGCCCTTTTTCTTGCAATTTTGCAAACGCTAGGCCCTTGTTCTTGCAATTTTGCACACGCTAGGCCCTTGTTCTTGCAATTTTGCACTCGCTAGGCCCTTGTTCTTGCAATTTTGCACTCGCTAGGCCCTTGTTCTTGCAATTTTGAATAGTCTAGGCCCTTGTTCTTGCATTTTTGCACTCGCTAGGCCCTTGTTCTTGCAATTGTGCACACGCTAGGCCCTTGTTCTTGCAATTTTGCACACGCTAGGCCCTTTTTCTTGCAATTTTGCACACGCTAGGCCCTTGTTCTTGCACTTTTGCACACGCTAGATCCTCGTTCATGAAATTTAGAACACGCTAGGCCCTTGTTCTTGCAATTTTGCACTCGCTAGGAACTTGTTCTTGCAATTTTGCACACGCTAGGCCCTTGTTCTTGCAATTTTGCACACGCTAGGCCCTTGTTCTTGCAATTTTGCACTCGCTAGGCCCTTGTTCTTGCAATTTTGCACACGCTAGGCCCTTGTTCTTGAAATTTTGCACACGCTAGGCCCTTGTTCTTGCAATTTTGCACTCGCTAGGCCTTTGTTCTTGCAATTTTACACTCGCTAGGCCCTTGTTCTTGCAATTTTGAACAGGCTAGGCCATTGTTCTTGCAATTTTGCACTCGCTAGGCCCTTGTTCTTGCAATTGTGCACACGCTAGGCCCTTGTTCTTGCAATTTTGCACACGCTAGATCCTTGTTCTTGCAATTTTGCACACTCTAGATCCTTGTTCTTGAAATTTTGAACACGCTAGGCCCTTTTTCTTGCAATTTTGCACACGCTAGGCCCTTGTTCTTGCAATTTTGCACACGCTAGGCCCTTGTTCGTGCAATGTTGCACTTGCTAGGCCCTTGTTCTTGCAATTTTGAACACGCTAGGCCCTTGTTCTTGCAATTTTGCACACGCTAGGCCCTTGTTCTTGCAATTTTGCACGCGCTAGGCCCTTGTTCTTGCAATTTTGCACTCGCTAGGCCCTTGTTCTTGCAATTTTGCACACGCTAGGCCCTTGTTCTTGCAAGTTCTTACACGCTAGGCCCTTGTTATTGCAATTTTGCACACCCTAGGCCCTTGTTCTTGCTATTTTGCACTCGCTAGGCCCTTGTTCTTCCAATTTTGCACTCGCTAGACCCTTGTTCTTGCAATTTTGCACATGCTAGGCCCTTGTTCTTGCAATTTTGCACACGCTAGGCCCTTGTTCTTGCAATTTTGCACACGCTAGGCCTTTGTTCTTGCAATTCTGCACACGCTTGGCCCTTGTTCTTGCAATTTTGCACTCGCTAGGCCCTTGTTCTTGCCATTTTACACACGCTAGGCCCTTGTTCTTGCGAGTTTTCACATGCTAGACCACATTTCTTGTAATTTTGCACACGCTAGGCCCTTGTTCTTGCAATTTTGCACTCGCTCGGCCCTTTTTCTTGCTATTTTGCACTCGCTAGGCCCTTTTTCTTGCTATTTTGCACATGCTAGGCCCTTGTTCTTGCTTTTTTGCACACGCTAGGCCCTTGTTCCTGCAATTTTGCACACGCTAGGCCCTTGTTCGTGCAATTTTGCACATGCTAGGCCCTTGTTCTTGCAATTTTGCACTCGCTAGGCCCTTGTTCTTGCAATTTTGCACACGCTAGGCCCTTGTTCTTGCAATTTCTTACACGCTAGGCCCTTGTTATTGCAATTTTGCACACCCTAGGCCCTTGTTCTTGCTATTTTGCACTCGCTAGGCCCTTGTTCTTCCAATTTTGCACTCGCTAGACCCTTGTTCTTGCAATTTTGCACATGCTAGGCCCTTGTTCTTGCAATTTTGCACACGCTAGGCCCTTGTTCTTGCAATTTTGCACACGCTAGGCCCTTGTTCTTGCAATTCTGCACACGCTTGGCCCTTGTTCTTGCAATTTTGCACTCGCTAGGCCCTTGTTCTTGCCATTTTACACACGCTAGGCCCTTGTTCTTGCGAGTTTTCACATGCTAGACCAAATTTCTTGTAATTTTGCACACGCTAGGCTCTTGTTCTTGCAATTTTGCACACGCTAGGCCCTTGTTCTTGCAATTTTGCACACGCCAGGCCCTTGTTCTTGCAATTTTCCACACGCTAGGCTCTTTTTCGTGCTTTCTTGCACACGCTAGGCCCTTGTTCGTGCAATTTTGCATATGCTAGGCCCTTGTTTTTGCAATTTTGCACACTCTAGGCCCTTGTTCATGCAGTTTTGCCCTCGCTAGGCCCTTGTTCTTGCAATTTTGCACACGCTAGGCCCTTGTTCTTGCATTTTTGCACTCGCTAGGCCCTTGTTCTTGCAATTTTGCACTCGCTAGGCCCTTGTTCTTGCTATTTTGCACTCGCTAGGCCCTTAATCTTGCTATTTTGCGCACACTAGGCCCTTGTTCTTGCTATTTTGCACACGCTAGGCCCTTGTTCTTGCAATTTTGTACACGCTAGGCCCGTGTTCTTGTAACTTTGCACACGCTAGGCCCTTGTTCTTGCAATTTTGCACTCGCTAGGCCCTTGTTCATGCAATTCTGTACTCGCTAGGCCCTTGTTCTTTCAATTTGGCACATGCTAGGCCCTTGTTCTTTCAATTTCGCACTCGGTAGGCCCTTGTTCGTGCAATTTTGCACTCGCTTTGCCCTTGTTCTTGCAATTCTGCACATGCTAGGCCCTTGTTCTTGCAATTTAGCACACTCTAGGCCCTTGTTCTTGCAATTTTGCACTCGCTAGGCCCTTGTTCTTGCCATTTTGCACACGCTAGGCCCTTGTTCTTGCAATTTTTCACATGCTAGACCACATTTCTTGTAATTTTGCACTGGCTAGGCCCTTGTTCTTGCCATTTTGCACACGCTAGGCCCTTGTTCTTGCAATTTTGCACACGCTAGGCCCTTGTTCTTGCAACTTTACACACGCTAGGCTCTTGTTCGTGCTTTTTTGTACACGCTAGGCCCTTGTTCGTGCAATTTTGCACATGCTAGGCCCTTGTTCTTGCAATTTTGCACACACTAGGCCCTTGTTCATGCAATTTTGCACTCGCTAGGCCCTTGTTCTTGCAATTTTGTACACGCTAGGCCCTTGTTCTTGCAATTTTGCACTCGCTAGGCCCTTGTTCTTGCAATTTTGCACTCGCTCGTCCCTTTTTCTTGCTATTTTGCACTCACTAGGCCCTTGTTCTTGCTATTTTGCACATGCTAGGCCCTTGTTCTTGCTATTTTGCACACGCTAGGCCCTTGTTCCTGCAATTTTGCACACGCTAGGCCCTTGGTCTTGCAATTTTGCACACGCTAGGCCCTTGTTCTTGTTACTTTGCACACGCTAGGCCCTTGTTCTTGCAATTTTGCACTTGTTCTTGCAACTTTGCACTCGCTAGGCCCTTATTCTTTCAATTTTGCACACGCTTCTTTCAATTTTGCACTCGCTAGGCCCTTGTTCGTGCAATTTTGCACTCGCTATGCCCTTGTTCTTGCAATTCTGCACATTCTAGGCCCTTGTTTTTGCAATTTAGCACACTCTAGGCCCTTGTTCTTGCAATTTTCCACATGCTAGGCCCTTGTTCTTGCTATTTTTCACACGCTATGCCCTTGTTCTTGCAATTTTGCACACGCTAGGCCCTTGTTCTTGCAATTTTGCACACGCTAGGCCCTTGTTCTTGTAATTTTGCTCACGCTATTCCCTTGTTCTTGCAATTTTGCACTCGCTAGGCCCTCGTTCTTGCAATTTTGCACTCGCTAGGCCCTTGTTCTTGCAATTTTGTACACGCTAGGCCCTTGTTCTTGCAATTTTGCACTCGTTAGGCCCTTGTTCTTGCAATTTTGCACACGCTAGGTCCTTGTTCCTATCATAATTTGAAGATTTAATAATGTTAACATGAGAGGAACATCTCTGAAGTAGTCAGATTTGTTACTACTAGTTTCAAGATTTTGAGAGAAAAATGTTGTGACCAGATCCGCCTGCATATTTTCCGGCGTCACGAGTGCTGTTTCCCACGCATTTGTTTGATACTTCATACTCTGCATTAGGAGGTTCCTTAGCCTCAGTAGGTCTCTCGTCCGTGCAAAAACCTGTGGAGCTGTCTCCTTACTACAGCTGGTGTACGGTGTACCTGTCTCCTTGTCGGGACTCAAGCCAACGATGGAAGGGACCAGAAGCATTGCTGTCTGGATACAAAATGCAAGCAGAGACTAAGGATGACGATCGGAGGAAGGAAACCCCAAGATGCCTTGGGAGTCGGGAGACTTGCCTGATGGAGGGGTAGTTATGTACGGAGGGATCGTTTCTATCGTCCTTATTCTGCCCTGCTTTACGAGAGGAAGGAGGAGAGACCAAAGGGCACACCCCAAGGCGGCAATATTACTAAACCGTAAGGAAAGTGAACACCAAAGTTGGAGCAGAACAGTAGCAGCGGGAGGCGGAGGCGACGGCGGAGGTGCGCGACGGAGTGACCATCCGGCGGAGGCCGCCGGGGGGGGGCAGCGGCGCACATGGTAGGCCCTTTCCAGTTCCGCGTGGGGGGCAAGGTGGAGGAAAACGTTCCGCGAAACATCCTGGAGAAGATCTTGTGGCTCAAGGACGGCGAGGTGGCGGCATTCAAGGAGCGCACGCCGCCCTCCGCGCTCGCGCTCGCGCTCGACGGCGCGCCGCCCGCCCGCGACTTTGTGGGCGCGCTGCAGGCGTGCGAGGCGGAGACGGGCGACGCGCACCCTGATCGCGGAGGTGAAGAAGGCGTCGCCCAGCCGCGGGGTCGTCCAACCCGACTTTCACCCTGTATGCCCCCCGCCCCCCTCGCTCTCGGCCCCCCTCGCTCGCGGCCCCCCTCGCTCCACCCCCTCTCCTTCCGCGCTGCTATCCACGCCATACCTCCCACCCAACATTGCTCACGCACTACCTTCCGCCCACCACCCAGCCGTCCGCCGTCCAACCGCCCACCACCACCACCTTCCCCATCACTTTCCTTCTCACGCCTCTCCTGGCCCTCTCCTTGTCCCCCTTAGGGCAGCTTTGAGAATCTGGAGTTCATTCGAGCAGCGGGCATGGGGAGCCCGCTGCTGTGCAAGGACTTCGTGGTGGATGCGTGGCAGCTGTACTGCGCGCGCACCAAGGGCGCTGATACCGTGCTGCTCATCGCCACTGTGCTGCCCGACCAGGACCTGTGCTACCACCCACTCCCTCGTCATGGCCACCCTCATCGAGGTGCCTCCCTCCCTGCCGCCCTGCCGCCCTGCCGCTCGGCTGCCCTGCCACCCTGCCACCCTGCCACCCTGCTCCCTCTCTCTGTGTTCCCTTGCCCCATTACTCTTGTGCTCCGCCCCCTTTGCCCACTCTGCCCATTTCCCCGCTGTCCCTCCCCTGCCCCATTGTCCCCCTGTCCCCCTTGCCTCCTGCGCCCCTGCCATGCCCCCCCCCCCAGGTGCACAGGGAGAGGGAGATGGAGCGGGTGCTGGCGCTGGAGGGGATCACACTCATCAGCATCAACAACCGCAACCTCGGTACGCCCTCCACCTCGCAATGTGCTCCCCCTTGCTGCGCCCTGCCCCGCTTGCCTGCGCGCTGCCATGGTCCACAGCACGTGCCGCTGCCCCATTGGTCCCCCCTTGCACCCGCATCTCGCCAACCTCCGCCCATGTACTGCATGTCCCCCACCTTCTCCATCCTTCCTTCTAGCCTCCCCCCTCCCCCCTTCCCAGGCACGTTCAAGGTGGACTTAGGCAACACGCAGCAGCTGCTGGCCAAGGAGAGGGGCGCTGCTATCCGGGAGAGAGGAATTATGGTGAGGGGAGGGATGATGGTGACGCGGGGAGGGCAGAGATGTTCAGCCGGGATGTGCAAAGGCTCACTGGTGTTTGTCTCTCACTTCACACCGTGCTCACCGTGCATGCCCACCATGCACACCATTCACACCATGCATCAACCAGCCTCCACCGTGCCACTGCTACCCTCCATGCCCCCATGTCACCATGCCCACCATGCCCCCATGCCCCTCAGTGCGTATTCCTGCTCCCCATGCGCCCCATGCGCCCATGGTGTGCTGTGCTGTAAGCCAGGTGGTGGGTGAGTCAGGCCTCTTCATTCCCGGCGATGTTGCCTTCGTGCAAAAGGCGGGCTGCAATGCTGTGAGCAGGTTAGCCTGCTTGCCCAACCTCGCCATGCCCCACTGTCCCGCCATGCACCGCACAACCCCCTCCTCCCCCACGCCCATGTGAGGCGCATGCCTGCTCAGCTCGCCCTCATCGTCTCCACCTCTGTCTATCCTCCGCGCCTGCACCCTCTCCTCCCCTCTTCCACCCGTCTTCCTCCTCAGGTACTGGTAGGCGAGTCTCTGGTGCGCACCAGCGACCCCACAGCCGCCATCGCTGCTCTCTTCGGCCGCCCCCTCACCACCCACCAACCTGGCCAGCCCGAGCCCGCCCAGGCACAGGCACTGGCATGAGCGCACTGCACCAGCTCAATATGTTCGATGCAGTCTTTAGGACGGCTTTGTGTGGCTCCCACCAAGCATTGGATTTCTTTCTTTTAAGCGGCAGCCTTTACTCATGTACCGCAGCAGGTTTAGCAATATGCTCATAGTGCACATCACAGCGACCATTTAATGTGGAAATGGAAGCAAAAGTGCTGTCGGCAAAAAGAGCAGCGAAAGTAAGCAAAGGAGCTAGCATGTGCCACCTGCAGCACAGCAGAGGAGCAAGCGTGACGTGACAGCAACCACCAGTCCGCCAACCCATGCAGCCCCCTGCCCCGCCTGCCCATCCACCCCCGCCTTGGATGTGTGGCGTATAGCTGCTGCGGACCAGTACACCTGTGCGCCGCCCATGCGCTGCAGGCGGCCAACAAACGTGGGGCGCAGCTCCTCATTGTCCGTCGCCACAAATACCGTCACCCTCCTCCCTTCTTGACTTGCACGCATGTGCGGTCCGTCCGCACTTGCTTGCGCGCATGATAGTTCCAACCCATTACTGCCACCTGCAAAACAAGCGCCTTCCATTATCTCCTCACGACATTTCACAACCGACATATTATCGCCCCCTTCCCTCCAATCGGCGTCTCACTCGCCCCTTTCCCTTCACCCCTCTCGTCCCCCCTCACATGTAGTCGCAGTCGTGCTCGCCGTCCCCCGCCATCACCCCCACCAGCACGCACAGCCCCACGCAGATCTCCGCCACCACGCGCCCCTCCACCTGCGCGCGCCCCGCATGCCGCACAGGGGGAGGGGGAAGGGGTCGCGTGGACGGATCAGGATGGCGGAGGTTGGCGGATACGGTGGGGGGGAGGGCGGGAAGGACGGGACGGAGGGAAGGGGAAGAGAGGATGGTTAAGCGCTGGAGAGGAAGGAAAGCGGAAGTGGATGGGGGAGGGGATCTTAGGATCGTAAGCACCTTAGTCGGCAATAGTCTACTTGCTATCGCCTATCGTGTTCTCCACGATCTCCCGAATCCAATGATATTCGCAGCTTTGCTTGAAGTTGTCAATACACATTTCAACAACTTTCAGAATCTGATTGGTATGATTTCCAGAATAAGTACGAGCAGTTTTATAGTCAGGCAAGACACAAAATGCGATTCGTAACTTCACTTGTTTCCCAAGTAACCGCGTGCGCCTCGTTTCACCCCGAGTCGCACACGCAACCGAACCGAATTCGGTGAACACTCCTCAAGACCGAATCTGGAACCTTCTTGAACACGCCTCGAGCTCGAACCACAATTTCCCCTCGCCAACTTCAATCTCGATGCTTCTTCCACCTTCTCACACATTCCTTCTCGATTTCTCTCTCCCTTCTCATGCCGTAGGCCGATTTCCACCGTTTCACCTAGAATCATCCACGCGCTTCCATTTCGTCGTCATTCTGCCGTCGTAGAGACTTTCGCCATAGGTTCCGTGGTTGGGCGAACCAACCCTAACAATCTCCCCTGTGGTTCGTCAACCACAAACTCCACTCACACTCCTCCCCTGCTCCTTGTAGCCTTCACAGGGTCTAGGTCGGCTTCACTCTCCCCTGAAGCTCCTGCACCTTGAACCTCTGCTTACTTGTCTTGAAGTTGAGCGCCTTGATATCCAATCCATGAGAGATTTTCTTAAGCATCTCACGTCTCCTCGGCATCTTTACACTCAACACCTCTCAGGTCTCGTACCCTTCAACGCGTTCATCCTCCTTAAGCACTTGCCCCTTTGTAGTTGCATTCGTTTTTTATCCTTTCACCATGATGTCCCCTTTCACAGCTTCAACTCCCACACACTTCGCATTTACTGCTTCGTCTTCAACCACGATCGCTGCTGCAAAAGTGTTGACATCGTCTCCATCTCCACCGTTTACTGCTGCGGCCTCCATGATCACTATCTCCTCTTCCTGCTTCACTGCTGCCTCCACACTTGCAGCCATATCATCCGAGTCCTCACTCTCATCATCCTCAGTAGACTCAGGATCCTCATAGATCTCATCCTTATCGTTCATCGCGACCAAGTTCATCTCATAGAAACTGTCACTGGAATAACCATCCGCATACTTCTCCCACTCAGGACCAAACACTGCAACCTCACCTCTGTCATAAAATATCTTGCACCCCAAGTCATCAAGCTGTGACTGACTAACCAGGTTCACCTTTAAATCCTCAACCAGCAGCACATTCTCCAGTCTCATCTCTCCATACGGACTCTGCAGCACCACATCACCCTCTCCTGTCACTGGTAACTTCCCACTGTTACCTTGTAGCATATAATCCTCACTCGACTCCCTCACATTTTCCATCCAATCTGACCTGAATGTCATGTGACGCGTGCATCCGCTGTCCATGAACCACGCCCTCTTCTCACGTCCATCTGTCTGAGCCTCCTTCGGTAAACGCACCACGTTCGCGAGATGCGCTCCTCCCAAAATCACATCCTCCTTTTCCGCTTCCACTACATTCGCCTTTGTCGCCACATTCCTCTGCTGCGATGGACCCTTACAGCTCATGCTAGTCGGGTTGGAGTAGCACTCTGCGGCACGATGCCCGTAGCGCCCACAATAATCGCACTTGCCGCCAAAACCTCGTTTCTACTGCCACTCCGCTCCCTCATTTTCTCCTTTCTCGTTCTCCATCGCTTTGCCCTTATAGTTTCTGCTTCGCGGGTTCTCGTAGCAATTTATCGCCTTATGCCCGCGCTTTCCACACTGGTAGCATGCTCCAAACGCCTTCGTGGCATTCACCATACCCGGCCTCTCCTCGTCGAATTCCTTAGCTGCTGCTGCTGCTTTCTTTTTCCTCATCTCCTTCACCGTCTCAAGCGACTGCAGAATCTCCTGCAGCTTCATCAAACTCTCCGGCGGTTGGTACGTAAACATACCGATGTCGGATTCCCACTCCTTAGGAAGGCCTTGGATGATATAGTCAATCATCTCATGCTCCGTCTCCGCGGCTCCCATCACCCGCAAATCGTCGTTGTTGATGTAGGTGATGATTTTCTCGCCTTTCTCCATGCTCAGCATCAGCAGTTGTTTCCTGATCGCCTTCTTGTTGACATCGTTGGTGCCCATGTATGTGGACTCCAGGTACTCCCACGCTTTCTGTGCAGAGTTCAGCTCCCTTGCAAACTGGTCCAAATCCACCGCGATTCCATCGGCAACTGAATGACAAAGCTGAAAGAACGCTTGCTTACTTTTCTTTTTGAACGCCGCTATTTTCCCCTTCGTATCCGTCGTGGAAGGCGCAACTCCCTCCATCGTCTCCTCGTCGGGACGGTAGTACGGCAAGAGGTCCACCTCCTCTGCCCTTCGAATGAACTTCTTTCGCCACACATTGTAGTTGCTTCCATTGAAGCGCTGGGCTTCACTGAGTCCGATCGTCGATTTCGCCACCAATCGGCCACTCGCAAGGGCCTCGAGAAGAGCCTTCAACTGCGGGTCTCCAAGACTCACACTGGAACCCGAACTCGCCTCGTCTCCCATAGCGTATGCGTGAACGACTCCTCATCTCCACTAATTTCACTTAGCGCACCAAGTGAATTCGCGACGATCGACGAGCCCGTTCGTCAAGCTCTGATACCAGTTCTTAGGATCGTAAGCACCTTAGTCACCTATCGTGTTCTCCACGATCTCCCGAATCCAATGATATGCGCAGCTCTGCTTGAAGTTATCAATACACACTTCAGCAATTTTCAGAATCTGATTGGTATGATTTCAAGAATGAGTACAAGCAGTTTCATAGTCAGGCAAGACACAAAATGCGATTCGTAACTTCACTTGTTTCCCAAGTAACCGCGTGCGCCTCGTTTCACCCCGAGTCGCACACGCAACCGAACCGAATTCGGTGAACACTCCTCAAGACCGAATCTGGAACCTTCTCGAACACGCCTCGAGCTCGAACCACAATTTCCCCTCGCCAACTTCAATCTCGATACTTATTCCACCTTCTCACACATTCCTTCTCGATTTCTCTCTCCCTTGTCACGCCGTAGGTCTTCTTCATGGGCGTTTTGTACGCCCATGATGAACCGGGTTCTTGGAAAGAGCTATGGCTGAAGTGTTGTCCACGTAGAGCGGAGTTGGTTGAGTTTGCGGCTGCCTCAAGTCCTCCAAGAGTCCACGTAACCAGATTGCCTCCCTTGCTCCTTCGGTCATTGCCATGTACTCAGCTTCGGTTGTTGAAACTGCCACACAACTTTGTGTCAACGGGAGCGTTGTAAGGCCCCGTCCCCGCTTGGGCGGAGCCAACCTTGTGGTCGGATGTGCGGGGGTTGCAGCCGACCTGCAGCAGTGGGCACGGGGGCCACTGCAAGGGCGCCAAGCTGGAGGGCGCCTGGCTGAAGGGCGCCGAGCAGGAGGACACTGCCCTGGACGCCTGGTTGGTGTCCCGGACGCCTGGACGGCGTCTTGGGAAGCTGGACGCTGAGCTGGGCGTCGCCACAACTACCGGGGCGTCTGCACGGCGTCCTGGGGTCCGGACGCCAACCTGGGTGTCCCGGGGGGGTCCACACACCGACCTGGACGTCTGGTCGGCGTCCTGGGAGGAGGGACGCCGCTCTGGAGGCTTGGTCGGCGTCCTGGGCGTCTGGACGCCGACATGGGGGTTCGAAGGCGTCTTGGGCGCCTGGACGCCAGACTGGGGACGCCGGGCATCCGTGGCCGACTACGGACTGCGCTGGTCGGCCAGGCGTGGTTGCCCGGTCGATCGGAATACCCGGGCGACGTGCGCGAGTGTTGCCAAGGTGGAGTCTGCGAGGCCGACCTCGGGGGTGGTATCCCGAGGTCGACGTGGCTCGTGGGCGCAGTCGCTGGCGTGGAGTCTGCCAGGCGTCTGCGCTGTGCTCGTGACAAGGTGTGGAGCGCCAACCAGCTGCGCGCACCTGCGAAGCAGGTGCACCGTTGTTCTGCGGGTGCAACGCTGTGCAGCCGACTTGGTGCAGCGCTGGCACACCGTGGACTTGCAACGTTGGCGAACCGCTACTTTGCAATGCTGGAGCGGTGCGAGCGCTGCTGCGCTGGAGCACGGTCGACCGTGCTGCGCTGGAGGTCGACCAGCAGCCTAGCTAGCCCGATGTAGTCTGTGATGCCAATGTTGTTGCTATCATTGTTGTCATGTTTTCCTAGTGAAACTCTTGCCAATTCTCCCCGTGAACTAGCAAGAAGCGTGAACACAAGGAAACGACTAAGTGAACGAACGCAGAGATCACACGAGCACACGTGCCTAGCCCGCAGTCTAGCTCCCGTTGCAGCAGTTATCTCCGCATGGTGCGGTGAGCGTGGACGACACCGCGACGTAGTTCAGTCTAGCGGACTTAGCACTTACCGATCGTGTTCGTAGGCCGGCAGCCGTGCAGTCACTAGCGTGCGCGTAGGCGACGCCGAGGTGATGGGCACCCTAGAGGGACGGCTGGAGGATGCGAGGAGACACCATGAGGCACAGGAATATGGGGCGATACCCTGGGCAGTCGTCGAGGAAGGACTCCGCTCCATGTGGGCGACGGAACATCCCTCTTCACGACCAGCTTCTCCTCGACCGGTGACCAACGAAGGCGGCGTCGACGTGGGCGTCCACGCCGGAGGTGGCCAAGTCGGCAGCAGTGCGGGAGACACGTCAAGGCAGCGAGGTGTGATACACGCCGGTGAAGCCGGCGGCGTTCAGGCTCGAGGGATGCAGTCGTCGGCAGCTGCAGGCTCCTCGCAGGGCGACGCCGGTGGGCGTCGAAGTGGATTGTCGCCGATGTCGGCGACCCAGGTGACGGCGGGCGGGATTGCACCGAGCTACGGCTACGTCAAGTTTACGCCGGACAGGATCTCGGTCACCCCGCCCCTCGTTGGTCGACAAGACATCCTCACCTGGAAGGAAGCCATCGAGCCCCAGCTGGAGATGGCCGGGCTGATCGGCTTCGCCCGAGGGACCGTGGCGACGCGGGGGAGCACCACCCCGACCTGCGTGCAGAGTTTCGCGCCGTGCAGCTGTTGACCTTCACGGTCATCTCGCGGTGCTGCTCGCCAGGCGTGCAGATCGCCTTGAAGTGGTGCCGAGAGTACCTCGACGCCGGCCACCGGGCGTGGAACTTCATCGAGTCGACCTATCAAGTCACCGACAACTTGTTCATCGCCCAGCTAGAAGGACAGCTGACGCATCTGCGCATGGGCGACGAGGAGACGGCGACCGACTACTGCAACCAGGCCCGGCGAATTCTCGCCACCATCAGGATGGCCGGCACGCAGTACTCGATGGCGTCGTACGTCACCCACGTTATGCAGGGACTCTCAAGCAGCTACAACCTGCTGAAGCGGCTGTCCATGGTGCCGAGCACGAGGGCGACTCTCAACAAGGACAACTTGACCTCGTATATCCTGCACGACGAGGCGATGCAGGAAGCCGAGCGATCCCAGGAGCTCTTGGCGCAGGCCAACTTCGTCGCCCCGTCGAAGCAAGGAGGCCGACCGGGGCAGCGTGGGCAGTCGGGCGGCGGCGGTAGCAGTGGCTGGAGGCCGAGCAGGGACGCCGACAAGAAGAAGTCGGCCAAAGACAGCGGTCGAGGAGGAGGAGGTCGACGATGGGAGTGCTGGCTGTGCGGCGACCCCGACCACCTCTCCTACGAGTGCCCCGACCGCAATGACTCCGACGACGACGACGCCAAGGGAGTCCGCGGGAGGTCTGGCAGTCGTCGCCCTCGTCGAGGAGGAAACAAGGTGCGCAAGGAGAAGCAGTCGACGACGTCGACCTCGGCGAAGGACGCCGACTCTTCTGCAGGCGGCAAGGGGCGGGACGACAAGACGGCGTCGTGCTCGCTGGTCGGCGTCGTGGAGCCGAGCGTCTCGCTGGCGCCAGAGGCTGGGGAGGACTTCCAGGCGGTGGCGGTAGCTGTGCAGGCGAACCTGGCGGTGGTACTGCTCGTCAGCGGTTGCTCCCACCACCTGATGGGGACGAAGGAAGTCTTCGTCGACCTGCAGCCGAGCAGCTCCATCAAGCACGTGCGCGGCTTCAATGGGGCACTGCAGGACGTCCATGGCCGCGGCACTATCGCTCTGCAAGGGGAGGCCGGGAAGCAGGTGCTCATCCCCGACGTGCTGTACGTCCCGGGTGTGCGGGCAAACCTGCTTTCAGCCGGCCAGCTGAAGGAGCACGGCGTGAAGCTGCAGGAGGACGGCGACGGGATGCTGCTCGTCTCGGCAGCAGGGGAGGTGCTCGGTCGGGCGACGTACACTGGGCGTGTCCTCTGCACCGATCTGCGCCCCTGCTCGGCCACGCCGACAAAGCCTAC